AATAGACTGCTCCATATGTGGCATGTGTTATAATAGACTACTCCACATGTGGCATGTGTTATAATAGACTACACCACATGTGGCATGTGTCATAATAGACTACTCTCCATGTTGCATGTGTTATAATAGACTACTCCACATGTGGCATGTGTTATAATAGACTACTCCGCATGTGGCATGTGTTATAATAGACTACTTCCCATGTGGCATGTGTTATAATAAACTACTCCCCATGTGGCATGTGTTATAATAAACTACTCCCCATGTGGCATGTGTTATAATAAACTACTCCCCATGTGATGCAGTATTTGGACCCACACCGGTAGTGAACGGTATTAATATTGTATGTACACCGGTAGTGAACGGTATTAATATTATATGTTTGCCCACACCGGTAGTGAACGGTATTAATATTGTATGTATACCCCACCGGTAGTGAACGGTATTAATATTGTATGTATGCCCCACCGGTAGTGAACTGTATTAATATTGTATGTACACCGGTAGTGAACGGTATTAATACTGTATGCCCCACCGGTAGTGAACGGTATCTATATTATATGTATACCCCACCGGTAGTGAACGGTATTAATATTGTATGTATACCCCACCGGTAGTGAACGGTATCTATATTATATGTATACCCACACCGGTAGTGAACGGTATCTATATTATATGTATACCCCACCGGTAGTGAACGGTATTAATATTGTATGTATACTCACACCGGTAGTGAACGGTATCTATATTGTATGTATACTCACACCGGTTGTGAACAGTATTAATATTGTATGTATACCTACACCGGTAGTGAACGGTATTAATATTGTATGTATACCTACACCGGTAGTGAACGGTATTAATATTGTATGTATAAGATCAGATCGATACCTCGGGATGTAAAGTGTTCTCTCGGCCACCACAAATCCCACTGTTACCAAGAGATTGGATGCTGGCAGGAAAGGAAGTATGAGGACCACTAGCGCCACTGACAACAGAATCCTTTCTCGCACCTGCATGAAAATAATTAAAAAATAAATTGGGTTTAATTCTGGTGAATGAAGCCTAAAATTTTGTATAACAATTTAATATAATGAACTGGACTGGAGACTTTTATGGACCTCGTGAGGACCTCAACTAGTATTCGACTCCACAGACGGTTGCAGTCCACAAAAGTATCCAGTCAGATTCAGTTCCTACTGTCTAAAATTGCTCTTACACGAACGTGTATAAACTATATCACATCAAATAATCTAAAACATTATTTGATTTCAATCGGTCCAGTGGTTTTTCAGTTATAAACAGACACACACAGATCTTCCATCTGTCCAGCGGTTCTCCAGTAATAAACAGACACACACAGATCTTCAATCGGTCCAACGGTTCTCCAGTTATAAACAGACACACACAGACCTTCAATCGGTCCAACGGTTCTCCAGTTATAAACAGACACACACAGATCTTCAATCGGTCCAACGGTTCTCCAGTTATAAACAGACACACACAGACCTTGGTCTGTGTGTGTCTGTTTATAACTGGAGAACCGTTGGACCGATTGAAGGTCTATGTGTAACTGTTTATAACTGGAGAACCGTTGGACCGATTGAAGGTCTATGTGTAACTGTTTATAACTGGAGAACCGTTGGACCGATTGAAGATCTGTGTGTGTCTGTTTATAACTGGAGAACCGCTGGATCGATTGTCACCAAAGTTGCCATTTAGCTTTAGGGCACCTGAAGAGTGGACACAGGGGGGGGGGGGTCGACGTTCGGACTTGACTAACGTTTCACCCCCTTGAGCCCCTATATTTGCTAGTGTCAATCGATGTAATAACTTTTGTTTAAAAGGGCGCAGGTTGACCATGTGATGAATCTCTTGATTTCAGAGCTAGCGAGTCTGGTTCGAATCTGTGTGATACCATAAAATCTTCCCCACTTTAAGCTGTGGAGGCGTGACAGTCAACCCATCCCTTAGCTTGGATGGTGGGTGATGGGGTGCCTTAGCTTGGATGGTGGGTGATGGGGTGTTGCTTCCCTCTGGTCAATTAAGGACGGCCTTACTGGCTTTATCATAGATAAAAAATGTAGTCTCTATGCCACTGTTCATCCATGATCTACATATCTACGCATGTTAGCAGCTAAATAACGGATTCATTAGGTAATATTTTATGACACAAACATGAACGCTTCATTCGATGATTTAATTATCTATTCTGCAGTAATACTAAGAAAACTTCAAAAAATATTAAACAGTTAATGTTACTTTTGTTGGCCGGTCGTGGCTAGCGTGCCGGACTGTAAATTCTAGGATCCCCTTGCCGTAAGATGGCGCTTCGGGGCCGTGCATGCATTACAAACAGGGGCACCCAAATCCCACTTTTCGATCAGAGTAGCCCAAGAGTTGGCGATGAGTGCTATTGACTAGCTGCCTTTTCTTTACTTTATCACTCCACGGCTTTGGAAGGTTAGCACAAATAGTCTCTGTGTAGGCTTAGCCAACTATCAGCAACGAATACACGTGAATCCGGAATAAAGAATAAATATATGTGAGAAAATGATTTTGGTCTATAATTTAAAAATCTCACACACTACATAATGCGCTAAATCTGCTCGGTCTTGAGCTAACTATGCATAGGCCAGGTGGAAAAAATGACCAGTAAGAGTGCGTGCGATGTGATCCGAAGAAGTGACCAATGAGAGGTCACTTCTTTCTACCATAACATTAACCACACTCTCATTGGTCACTTCTTCCGATCACAACATTAATCACACTTTCATTGGTCACTTCTTCCGATCACAGCATTAACCACACTCTCATTGGTCACTTCTTTCTACCATAACATTAACCATAAAATGAGAGCGTGGTTAATGCTATGGTAAAAAGAAGTGACCAATGAGAGTGTGGTTAATGCTGTGATCGGAAGAAGTGACCAATGAGAGTATGGTTAATGCTATGGTAGAAAGAAGTAACCAATGAGAGCGTGGTTAATGCTATGGTAGAAAGAAGTGACCAATGAGAGTATGGTTAATGCTATGGTAGAAAGAAGTGACCAATGAGAGTGTGGTTAATGCTGTGGTAGAAAGAAGTGACCAATGAGAGTGTGATTAATGTTGTGATCGAAAGAAGTGACCAATGAGAGTGTGATTAATGTTGTGATCGGAAGAAGAGACCAATGAGAGTGTGGTTAATGCTGTGGTACGAAAGAAGTGACCAATGAGAGTATGGTTAATGCTATGGTAGAAAGAAGTGACCAATGAGAGTATGGTTAATGCTATGGTAGAAAGAAGTGACCAATGAGAGTATGGTTAATGCTATGGTAGAAAGAAGTGACCAATGAGAGTGTGGTTAATGCTGTGGTAGAAAGAAGTGACCAATGAGAGTGTGATTAATGCTGTAATCGGAAGAAGTAACCAATGAGAGTGTGGTTAATGTTGTGATTGAACATATGTAAAAGATACACACAACAGTTATAATTTATTTTGATTAATTAATGTAATGAAACACCACTACAGACTGTAGATACTTTTTACATTTAGGTCCGTTGAAGAATCAAACGTAAGTGTGTAAAAAAACTTCGTAATAGGCCTAACGAAGTTGGCCATCTTTGTTGTTGTTTAGTTTATCAATACCTACCTCTTCTTACCTTCACTGTTGTTGTTTGTTTATCAACACCTACCTCTTCTTACCTTCACTGTTGTTGTTTGTTTATCAACACCTACCTCCTCTTACCTTCACTGTTGTTGTTTGTTTATCAACACCTACCTCCTCTTACCTTCACTGTTGTTGTTTGTTTATCAACACCTACCTCTTCTTACCTTCACTGTTATTCTGCTGGTTATGAAAATGGAACCAATTCCACCAAACAGAAAGACCGAACCCAGATTACGTTTATCCCAGATTGTCTCCACCAGGGGGATGCTTCCCATTTGCCAATCATACGATAGATTAGAAGGAAAGAACACCAGCCAAGCGTTGAAAGTAACCAAGTAGGTTTTGGTAAGAAATCTAGGTTTCGAAACGAAGTCAGAATTTTAAATTGATTAGTGGATAGAATAGTTTAATACAGATTTATTTGTTGATAAATTAGTCATTGATCAAAACTCGAATAATTCAACTTATTAATAATGTACACTTTGAATAATTAAAACATTACCTTTAAAATAAACAACAGTCGGTTGTTGGTGTAAAATAAAATAACATAATAATTTGTAATATCGTGTGATTTTTCTAACCGATAACTTGATAATTTAGGCTACATATTACTTACATTAAAGTTACAAAAAAAAACAACCTTTACTCTCCCAAGTAATGATTAAAAAACTATTTCAGACATCATGGAAAGTAAGTAAAGGTCGTTTTTTTTTCTCTCTCTCTCTCTAACTTTATTACTCAAATGTCTAAATCCCTCCACTATGCTCTACTAATGTTGCTCTATCATGAACAATATTTAAAATTACTTTACATGTACACGAACCAGATCTGGAATCTTTAATATTTCAATTTTTTTAAACACTGAAGAATACTTCAAAATAAGAGCTTCATTGACCAATCAGCAGTCAGCTGTTGGAAAACATCCCGCGACAACACTCGAAAGAGTAAAACTGGACTTACAGTTCTAATTAAATTGTTACTTTCGGATGAGATATGTATGATCAATGCAGATGAACGTTGCCATATAAGTGATATTGTGACGTAATTGCTCACCTACCTAGTGAGCAAAGAGGGTGAAAAGGCAGCAGGATTGTCTTGTGCTGAGAACGTTGGTAAAGAACCATGCAGCATCCATGTACGGAAGCTCAAAAGGGCTACAAGCTGTTAAAAAGTTTTTAAAAAGCGTTTATAGTCATTTTTAGGACAAAGTGTCAAAATGATAGTCAGTTTTCATTTTAAACTAGTTATAGTAATTTATTAACGGTAAACTTTTAAATAATGTATGCTAATTTTTCAAGTTAAACGTTTAAAAAGTGATAAACATGTATATTCAGTTTTAGGGTTAAGCGTTTATAAACTACTCAAGATAAATGTACAGTAATGGGAGTTTTGTGAAATCTATTTCAACTATAAATTAATGTACGAGACTCAAAAACAGAACACATTTCCAATGTTATGCTTTAAGAAGAGAAAATTATATTATACGATACAAAACTGGCTGTCATAGCACATTGTTGACAGTAAAATTAAACGATACAAAACTTGCTGTTATAACACATTGTTGACAGTAAAGTTAAACGACATAAAACTTGCTGCTATAACACATTGTTGACAGTAAAATTAAACGACATAAATCTTAGCTGCTATGACACATTGTTGACAGTAAAATTAAACGACATAAATCTTGCTGCTATGACACATTGTTGACAGTAAAATTAAACGACATAAATCTTGCTGCTATAACACATT